CTTTGAATATTGCGCGCACAATAAACCTGTGTTCTACGTAATAAACCTGTGTACTACGTCAGTAACATGTGCTTGATTCGCATAATTTCGTGTAATTCCGTTGTTTTTGTCGTCAATACATGACTGAATAATTTAAATTATATCGTTGAATTTTATTTCACAAATCTATTATTTTAAGCACAACAAGCGCTTGAATTTCATACAAAGCTACAGTAGTTTCCAAAACAATTGTGTTGCTACGTCATCAGTATACGTATCCAATACGTCATGAAAATATGCTCGTCTCGGTTGGCGTAAATATATGGATAATGCTCGAGTATAATCGTAAAGGTTCGCTGGTTAAGTAAAGACTAAGTTATCATCGTTAATTTCCGTCAGCATAACATATAGGCCTACTTTAATTCAGGACTCTCGATTGACGCGGGGATTCGGGTTTTGACTCGTGAAAATTTGGAAATGCACAAATTTGACACGTGAAAAAATCTGCACAAGAGTCAATTTGCCACATTGGATTTTCAACTATGCAATAATAATCACCTTACTGTAAATCCACCCCTAATTAGATCTACATATGTTCAAATCACACTCAATAAAAATGTCAACAGGCAGTATAAGCCGTGTATAAAGTGGTTTATACACACAGCCTGTGCACTGAAGCATGACATCAGTGGATGCAATTTGACAGCGCTAAAAATAGCTCTACACAACTGATAAAAATTACATACATCAGATGTCAATTATTGATTATTTCTTTAAGGTTTATAATACGTCTTTGATTTACTTGGAGTGCCTGTACATTTGTTATTTCTTTTTGGATTATATATTCCTATTATCTATTAATTAAATGGCCAATGATAAAATTGTCATAAATGCAGGTTGACCATTAAGGTCAATTGATTATTAAATTTCAATTAAATAATAATAATAATAGTAATCCTAGAAAAATATTATTAAATAGATCTAGATCAGTATGTTGTTTTATGTTAAAAAAGAAAGAAAACATTTTTATTTTCAATTTTATTGTCTTCCTTCTTTATTTACTTGTTTACTTTCAACAAAGAGAATTCCTAGTCTTTAGGAATTTATGTAAGATTCAAGGAATTTAGCACAGATGTTAAGGATTTTGTTCTACAAGATAAATTCTAAGTAATTCCTAAAGACTAGGAATTTTGCAAAATCTTAAGTCTACGAAATCTCAGAAAATAAATTACAATTCCTAGAATAACTTAGAAATTGATGAGTTGTTTAAAAATTATTAGGAATGCCTAGTTCTCAGTAACTGGTATTTCCTAGGCCATACTAGAATAGCCAAGACTGGTTTTAACATTCTGGAATTTTCTAGGATAATAACTGGGAAATACTGGGACGTATTACCCTTCTGCAAGGGTAATTGCAAACCTAAATGTAAATTTTAAGTTGAAAAAGGGGCATTATTCTGTCAAAATGCTTCATAGAGTTACCACCTCCTGTCTACAGGTTGTGGTTATGATGGTAAACAAATGTGCAAATATTCAAAGCCATATGTCAATGGACTTTGAAAATATTTGATGTGTTACAAAAAGTTTAATGTAAATTCTATATCAAAAAAGGGGCATTATTCTGTCAATATGGTTGATAAAGTTACCTCCTCCTGTCTACAGGTTGGGTTCATGATGGTGAACAAGTGTGCAAAGTTTCAAAGCTATATGTCTATGGACTTTGAAAATATTTGAGGTATTACAAAAACTTTAACATAAGTGGTTACGCCGACACCGACGCTCGGGTGACTACAATAGCTCTACTTATTCTTATCGAATAGTCGAGCTAAAAACACAGAAATCAACCTAACCGACCGTCTTTTTATATTTTAGGTTGATTAAACTTTTATCCTAAACATTTTCAAATATGAACTGTTGGTCAATCACCATTTTAACAGTCAATCTTTTGAAATATATAGTCAGTTCTGCTCAACTCGACTATGAAAATATGAGCATAATGTCACTTTAATTTGTAATGTTTTCAATCAAAACAGACCATGCAAAGTTAAATGGATTTCAAAATTTAAATACAAAAGATTGCATGCCTGTGCAGTGTGGCCTGGATATTGAAATTCCCCAAACTTTGAATAGACTGTTCAGGCAATTCCATTACACAAAATCAAAATATGTAAACATATTTTTCCGTCTGCTTAAAAACCAAGCATTCTATAGTTTCGTTAACATTTTTTAACACTATTGTTGTGAATCTCATTAAAATTATTCATAAGTTATGATTTTAAAAGGAAAACCCCACGGTAACACTAAAGTTGGTATATGAATTTCAACATGAAAATGAAGACTAGTATAATTAGCTTGTGTATGCGCTACGTCACAATGGTAAAATCAATTGTAACCATGTGGATCACAGCAAATATGAGATATTCTTGTGCAAACAAACTTTTACCATTTAAGTTTCGTGGTGCATAAGCCCTGTCATTTACAAAAACTCAATCATCTCATAAAAAGATTTAATTTGTATGAAAACATCCGCTATATATAATGCAGAAATATACTGTTAAATTCGGACTGCTATTCAAAAATGTTTGTTTATTTTCTATTGATGTACAGATGACCCAAAGGCGGAGTTTCTCATGCAAATAGAAATTGTTCTCCCGATTTCGCCACAATGAGGTTGTAGATTTATGGCTTATAGAACTTATTTTGGTTGTCTGGACACCAAAAATAAGAACAGGAGTTGATATGAAACGTATTTAATTTACAAAATGTAGCTATTTCTGTTTTTTTAATGAAATTATATTTAATGTAGCTTTAATATATATGTTGCTTTACTCAAATAAAGTAATGTTTATTTATTTTTTAATTTTTTTTACAGATTTTGTTTGCAATACATGTACATATAAATGAACTAGTTAAAATCTTGGCTTAAACTTGGACATCATCTTGGATAAAAATGTTGTGACACCAGTTAGGACAGTGCAACTGTAATGATGCAGTGTTCATAAACTACAGTTCTATATAGAAACCCTTGTTTACTGACATAGACTGACATAGACCGGTAGTCCAGATATCCCCGTTTGTTTGCAGCATTATGATAAACAGCTTTTGCCTGAACCAGTGCTTAATAGTACAGTAGCTTTTATAATACTGCATGTTTGTAACACCGAGTTTCATTGAATAATCGTGACATTTAAAATAGTTTTATATACACAGCGTTACTTTTTTCTCTAAAAAAGGAAGTTTGCACTATTTTATAGATTCGTTATAAACATTCCTGGTGGCTCAGATTACCGGTATATTTACAAATAACCATTTATAATAGGGCCATATAACATGTCAAAAATCTTTGTAACCTATAATATAAACAGCTTTTGACACCAGTGAATTAAATCATCAAACTTTTTTTGTAAACATATTTTTCCGTCTGCTTTTTATGAGTAACTAAAATAATCCAAAAAGTATGCTACTATTAATTCAAACCTATAGGAAAATAACTTCATAGCATAGCCTACATGTTTTATGTGGCAATTGCATAATTCACAATTTGATGAGTTCTTTAAACAGACATGTTCATCTTCCATTTTTGGAACTGTCCATAATCAATTTTTTGGATATTAAGATGAAAAAGTTAGTTGGTCAATCAAAAGACTATAGAGTCTTGAGTCAGGCTGCAAGCTTGAGCAGGCTAGGTGCCGGCTCTGGTGGTAAATGGCATGGTACAAGCAGGGTAATGATTTTTTGATAAATTCAAAATGTTATGAAAATAACATCCTTGGTTTTCATTACCAAAATAATGTATAATTACTTTGACATTTCTTTATAGATTTTAAATAGGACTTATTAAAGCTCATATCCCAGCTTTATAAATGATCTAAATATATGAATGCATAAAAATTAGAATTCAAAGGTGTGATTGGGATTCTGCTTCGATGTTAAGTAGATGTTAAGTAATCTATTTTATTTCCTTTTTTTTCTGGTGATGGGCAATAAAATTTTCCTGGCCAGTAATTTTTATGGATAGCATGCAGAAGGGAAAACAAAATTTTACTTAAGGCACTATGCTTTAGCAACATACCTGATAGAGAAAACAAAAAAGAAATTATATTTGCCTAATTTAAATATAAATACTTTTAAAAACAAAAGAAAACCTAATTCCCCAATAAAACCTAATTTTCATTCCATTGTTTTAAGTGTCAGTTATAACCTTTCACTGCATTTAAACAAAAGACAGTGTGATTGAAATCTATATATAGGAAAATTATAGATTTTGTCAACTGTACAATTGAACTGAAATCTAATATGTGATTTTTTTTCATAGTATCTAAAACAGACCACAGTCAATAACAGTAAATAAATGAAAAGTATTATTATATAAAGTTGATGGTTTAAAGCTAAAGGTGAGTTATTTTTTTATAAAACATTAAAGCAGCACATTCCCAAATTTGTGTTGATTTTTGATGAAAAACTTAAAGCAGCATGCCTCCAGGTTCATGCTATTTTTTGTGAAAATTACGAAAATGCTTTTCAAAGTAAAATATTGTGAGATGAACAAAGAAAGTAATTTACTTGTAAGTCTTACTTAGCATAAGCTCTTACTATCTTCAGACATTTATGATGTAGAATGTCATTTTAAAAGTTAATTCTTTTTCACTATTACTAACAGGGTATACTTTTGATGATAAATATACATTTCATTATACATTTTTTAAAAATTTAAATTTATTTTTTGCTACAGTTTGATGTTATGAAGACTGGTTTCATTTACTTATCTGGAGGCTTAGAATGGAATAATATTGAAGACACGACCTTGAAAAACCTAGAGACATGACCTTGACATTATATCTTTATGGAAACAAAATTAATGACAATTTTCAATCACAATTTAGTGTGGCACACGAAAATGGATATAAAAAATCAGTTCAATGAATGTTTTTCTACAGCTTTCGACTTTTAGTCTTCTTCAGAAAACATGGAATAATACAATTTTACAGATAATACTTCGAAAAATAAAACTTTACATTATTCATGGGGTCATCTCCATCGAAAGGACCAAAAGCAGTAAAATGGGAGGTGGCTGATGAGCCCCCTGAGATGAACAAGTTTATCAATCGTGAATGGAAGCCAAAAGTGATAAAATTGAAAAGGCGACGCGCAATCCCCGAGGGTTCGATCAGCGTAAAAATTCTAGACGATGAATTTGACTGTAATATTACCAGTATGGCTTTCTTACCAAATGGAGACTTATTTGTTGTTGATCAGGCAAACAAAAAACTCAAACTTTTTAATAAACACTTTAGATATCAAACCAGTGCACAAATGCCGTCCAACCCTCAAAGCGTGTGTGCAAGCCCAAACAAGCCTGAAGTGTTTGTCACGTTTCTAGCATCAAGTCGAATACGACAAATCGAAACTTTCAGAAATGATTTAAAAAGACTTGAAACCATACAAACTATAGGTAAATGTACAGCTATTGCCAGTAACAGGTTCGGAGGTTTGGCCGTTGCTATAAATATCACAGGAAATCAGTGGCAAATACATCTCATGAATTCTAGAGGAGATATTCAGAAACGTGTTCACGGAGAAAGTTTATTTTTAAACCCAGACCACATGGCTATTACAGGTGATATGAATCTTGTTATATGTGACCGTGGAAACCATACTGTTTATCACATCACGCCAGACGGGTATGTTATATTCGCGGACAAGGAAATAAAAGGACCGATGGATTGTTTTATTGATAAACTTGGCTACATCTTTGTGGCGGGACCTGAGAGGATTCATCAACTGAACGAGCGAGGTGAGAAAGTACAATATGTTATATCGAAGGCCGATATAGGATTTGCTCCAGCAACTCTTGCATACAGGGATGATGATGAATTTTTCCTAGTGGCGGGAAAGTCGGACAAAATCAGGGTGTACAAACTGAAAAATTTCTAAAATTGTTTGTGCATGCCTTAAATAGAAAGATATTTTTCAAAAATATTATACAGTACACATCACCAAAATTTTGATGGCATAAACATAGGAAGTAATCATTTGGATATAATTTTTTTTTATTTTTTGGTAGGAGTTTTGTGGTGTTATACAATTTGAATATTCTCCATATATTTTGAGTGCATAATTATTATACACATGATTGCATGTTTCCAATATATTGACCTTTTCGAAAACCTAGCTAAACACTGTTTTCCGGTACGTTACCGTTTTAGCTCTGGGGAATTACACCAAATAAAGTACATAACACAGTTACGAGATATGTCTATTTTTCTATCATTATTTAACCGTTTAAGGTGAAATAAATTGATGTTTTTGAAAATTATCAATGTTTGCTTAATATCTATTGCAAATTATTCAAAAAATAAATAGTTTATAATGAAAATCTATAAAATTCAAACAGACGTAGTGGAATCTTCCATATTAAATAAGGTTATTTTCTGCGTAAACTTGTGTATTTACTTTATTTTTTTATGGAATTATTCATACAATGATATTTAATTATTTTCTTATAAAGAAATAAGTGTTTTATTTCAGTTTAATTTAAACTAGAACTGCCACTATCATGGCGTGAATACCCCCGCATACCACTTTGTCAGAATCAACAGTGGCCATTTAGAGCTCAAGGACAACCTCCCTGCCAAATCTGAGGTTACTAAGCCAGTGCATTGCTAAATTATGTATTCTACATGCTTCAAATGTGAAAATGTCAAAATCAATACATTGCGGACAGGACATACTTTAGCAATTGAGAAGAAAAGCTTTTTTTGTCAAGGTCCCTGTGACCTTGACCTTTGACCCAGTGACCTCAAAATCAATAGGGGTCACCTTATAGTCATGACCAACATCCATGCCAAATATGAAGACTGTGGGTCAAAGGAATCTAAAGTTATTGGGCGGACAAGCTTTTTGAAGTCAAGGCCCCTGTGACCTTGACCTTTGACCTAGTGACCTCATAATCAATAGGGGTCATCTACTAATCATGACTAACCTCCATGCCAAATATGAAGACTATGGGTCAAAGGAATCTTAAGTTATTGGGCGGACAAGCTTTTTGAAGTCAAGGCCCCTGTGACCTTGACCTTTGACCTAGTGACCTCAAAATCAATAGGGGTCATCTACTAATCATGACTAACCTCCATGCCAAATATGAAGACTGTGGGTCAAAGGAATCTTAAGTTATTGGGCGGACAAGAAAAAACCGACGGACGGACGGCCGGACAAGCTGATTCCAGTATACCCCCCTTACAACTTTGTTGTGCGGGGGTATAAAAAAGGCCATTAACATTGACTTCGCTATTACACTCCATTAGGTGAATTCCCCAGAGCTATGTACAGAAAGTACCGTAAAACGGCGTTTAGCTAGGTTTTCGAATTCGTGAATAGTACATGTTTGGCTATTAACAAAACCACGTATTCTAAATTTTCCATTACACATGTACACGTAGATACACATTCTTCATAACTCTTACATGGAAATAAAGATAATCAACCATCAGAGCATTGTAATATATGATGACTGTATTATTATCCATATATTTTGTTGCTTAGAACAATACACCGATAAACACTTTCCCCAACTAGCAGACGACAGGCTTTTCTTATCAGTAGGTTTTCGAGTAAAGATAACCGGTTGCGTATCTCACTACTAGTATATAAATCGTTTGTAAAATGGGCTGACATGGTAGGTTTAACAGTTAATTTAAATACTTTGGTGTCAAATGATATGTAAAATTATAAACTGTGACAAAGCTAAGATCCCAAGCTTTTCATTGATGTAATAAGTTTTAATATCGGACATTTAATCACAACAAACTAGCGGTTTAAAAATGGCTTAATTTGTATTGTTTTAGCGTTAACTATGAGATACCAATTTTACTCGAAGATAAGGGAAACAACTCGTATTTTTTCACTCGATATACCTCGGTTATTTTTACCTAGTTCATTATAAAAAGTGTTTATGGGTGTATTCCAATACACAGACACTTGGAGTATGGACCCTGCCCTTCTCCGCCCCTGAATATTAAAAATTAAAAGTATTATTTATTAAAAGAACTAGTTTTAATTTTTTGCTTATATTAGTATGAAACAGTAAAGTGTCTAACACATGAATAAGTTTGAACAGAATTCCATAATGTTTTAAAAAGTCAATTTTTTACCAATGCTTCAATTTTTTCAATCGCAACTACTCGGCTCTTTCCGTCAGTCTTCTTGATTTGGTGTTAGATTGGATTACCTGCCCTTTTCTCTCCGTTCATTACTAAATTTTTTATAGTACGACGGGAACCAGACCAGATTTGGTGTCTGTACTGATTAGGGGAAGTAACCGCTGCAGGTTTTGGTTCTCGGCATGAAAATGAAAGCCGAAACAGTGCCGAAACTCATTCCAGTCGTCTCACATTAAAGGAAAGCGTATGTTTGTTTATCTTTATGAAATTATGATATTTTAGGGACTTTTTAAACGTGGTTAAAATAGCGGAAAACAAGTTTTATGTTCAAGACATGTGACCAGGTCATAATAATATGCAAAAAATATTTGATGTACGGTTTGCACGATAAAAATAGGCATGGTGTATACAAGTGCGGATCAAGAAGGGGAGCCACACACAATAACCCAATACTATTTAATATCAGAGATCTTATTTTTAAGACAAATTATCAGGTAACAAAAGAACCACATTTTTTATATGAAACTAAGTGATTGATTCTTTTTACATTTATATCATGTATCCCTAATGAAGACATTGTTAAAGGTTAAAACTATTAGGGTAAAATAAGTTATTCAATCATCATTGCCAATTGTTTGTTTTTTTAGTGCATCATTCATAATATATATTAAATCATGTTTAAAGATTATTTTAAAAGAAATTTCAACAATAGTATAGTGTAGCAATCTAAGCCTAATATGTTTTGTTTCATGGTTTACATAGAAAAATAAATTAAAAGAAATATGTTTTCCTAAACGTATGCTCCAATAATATTGCAGCTTTAATCTGTTAATGATCTCAATAAATAATGGTACAACTCCTTGCTAGTTTTCAGTGATTTTCCACCTGATATAACAGAGGCCTACAAAAGGCTTTTCCCAATGGGAATTTTCTTTAAAATCATGCAGTTTTCCCAAAAATATGAACTTACACCAGCTTTTTTAATTAAAAAAAAAATAGCAATTTTAGCGATAATTTTACCCAAAAACAAGAGGCTAGGACCTCTTCTAAAAATTATGGTTTTTGTCATAAACATTACCATAGTTACGGAAAGTAAAAACAAAAACACCAATACATACTGCTTCCACTCATGACAAAACCCTGGTCCTCAAAATGTACGATTTCATCTGGTGTAAGGCCAATCTCACCTCTTCTAGGGATTCTCTTTTCCTTCCGCAATATAGGCCGCCATTGCGGCACCCCTCTCTTGGTAACAGATGCTTTACCAAAACTGAAAATAACATTTCAAAGATTAGAGTCAAAACTTCACTGATTTGAGTGGTATTTTGTTTTAACGAAATATACATAATGTAATTAATGTGAATTCAGTCCTTGTTCTAAACCAGATTTTCACAAATTTCACTTAAAGATCCTGTACTCAATTTTTTATGTTTTATATCTTAAATAATAATGCTCAAATTTTATCAATATTGTAAGTTCCAAAAAATCATAATTTGTAATGATTATTACCAAATTGACATTTCATGTAAATAAAGGGAGGTTATTAGAAATTTATTTTCGATAAAGTCTAAGCCAAATTTTTCAATAAGAACTGAAATGCATACATTTCAATGATTATAAACTTACTAATGCGAATAAACATTTGCAGTTTATGAAACTAGATTATACACTTATATAAATATTTCTTCAGTGTTATTACATTCCTTAATAACAACTATCAGTGATTAAATGCTATACAGTGCTGACAACTAAAAGGCTAACAACCAAAATTTTGCTCTAGACTCAGACTTTTGCAAAACCAAACTTCTTATAACCAGGACTCTTCATATACAGTTGTTTTTCAGAATACTTATTAATATTTTTGTTGTTGTTTGAATTGGGTTTATTTACCTGACACAGTTTGGCCATATGCGACCGTTCAAGCGGCTTAACTATGCAGAACATCAGTGCCCTTCCAATAACTTTAATTCAGACACGGAACAGCGCACCTGAGTAGAACCACTGACATTCCGTAAGCTAGCAAAGATTAGCTTGCTCACATGGTGGAATTCCAAAGTTCCTGTTAGGGATTTGAACCACAGCAAGTGAGAGGCAATGGTTGAATGGCGTTAACTCTACTCAGCCACAGACAGCCCTAGAATATTATGTCATATGCTGGTTAAATAGCATACTTTTAGATTTATGTTCCTTTGCCTAAAATAAGAAATGATCACCGATTCTCAAAATTCAAAAGCAAAACAGGGAAGTTTAACAAGTGAAGGTGAATTCATAAATATCGACCAAGTTGCTGAATGTCAGACATGAATGTAGAAATCTAGTGAGTTAGGATATCTCTCTTTTACACACAACGACAAACAATCACAAAAAGATCAGAAAATGTAGTTTTTGACCTAGAGTATATGTCATGATTGAAATGTTGAAATCCAGGTAAGAGGAATTATTCCATATATTTCATCAGGAAAAAACATTAAGCTATCAAAATATGAATAAACACACTACTACTCTAGATTAAAATAGATCTTGACTTAGACATGAGTATAAATTTACTGGATGTCTGGCAGGATTATCAGTATACTATACTCTTTTCTGTTTTTGAGAGCCCACAGCTGTAAGGGTTGAAGAGGTTTCGGACCTATTTCATCATCACCTCATCCTCCCACAATAGACACTATTCTCTTGAAATCCCGGACTACGGAAATCAGAACAAATATCATAATTATAACTTAATTCTGAATTTCTTGAATGGACTTTACCCCATTTCGCTTTGGAACAGCC